ATCTCCCTTATCATGTCCTACAGTCTGTGTCTTAGAGTTGCAAGGGATTTTGAGATAGCCTAGGCTATGTTTTCATCAGGCAGATGAAATGGGGGAGCTCACAAGTTCAGGAACTTTTTTCCCAGCTTAGTGCCTGAATCAATTTCCTGTTCAACACTTCCTTTTTTCCCCCCCTTTGAAGCTTTGAAAATCCTGCCTCCTACCAATTCCTTACATGATGATTTCTTCATGTCTCTCACATTGCTTTCATGTCTTTCCATGCTTAGAACTGAGCTTCTGATTTTCTCAGTTAACTGTGTGTGTGTGTCTGGGCCAAAGGGTTACTCTTTCTGCTTTGGCAGATAGTCCTGATAGTCTCTAAGCAATGCCTGGGTACCACAGATCACTGGAAGGCCTGGGAAAGGAAATCAAACTACAAAGTCCTACTTTAGACCTCCCAGACCCAAGCCCTGGGCTACAGCTACTTAGACAGAATGAGACAGACTTAGAGCAAGGAAGACTGGCAACCGCAGGCTGGGCTATTCAGACACCCCTAGACTGGAAAACATCCTTTGGGGGGGGGGAAATGAGGACATGAAACCTCTTGCTGTGGTACCTATCATTCTGCAAAGGACAGTGAAAACACAGTCTGTCATACTTGACATTTTAATTGAAAGAAAAGCTTACATAGATTTCAGCCGTAAGCGTGGTGTTTATACAAGTGTGTAAAGAGGGGTAATCTGTCAAGCTGGAAAACTCTTAGTGCGGGGCCTCAGTTCAGTAATTGAACAATCCAACATGAGCTCACACATTTACCTTGTTCCATGCCTCAATAATTTTTAGTAGAAATACTTTACCTAGAGGCATATGGTTATTAAAAAGGAGCCTCAGCTGGCCCGAGATCTGGAATGACTAGCTCATGGCAACAAGCCTGTACTAGAGGAAAGGCTGTCCCAGCTTTGTTTTCACAACTTTACTGCTATTTTGCCATCTGATTTTCAGAATCTAAGTATGTGTTGTTGGAAAGGTTTTTCGTTTATTTACCTATTTTTTTTTAAAGGAGAAAATAGAATTTCACATGGATGAATGATTTCTCATATTAGCAGTATTCTGGAATTTCACTACTTAGTGGTGCCCCAGTGATGTGAACATCAAAAGAAATAGACTGAATTTATTTTATCATGAAAATCAATAATAGCTTAGTTACAGAAGTGACAGAGTCATGAGATGCGGGAAGCTCTGGTCCCTTCCACGATGTGTGTAGTTATAGGCAAATGAAAAATATATCTATATTTTGTTTACTCCCAAGTGACAGTGGGAGTAACATGATCCTACCTACCACACCGAATTGTCTCAAGTCACGGGAAACTGGGATATAAAAACATTTTCAAAATTACTTGAAAACACCAAGTGAAACATACAAAGAATACTATAGATTAAATCAGAAAAAAAATAGTACCTACAAAAGGAATAAGATAATGCATGCAGCTATTCTGTTGTTTCTCTGGCTTCAGTAGTGTGACTATTCTGGATACATTTATGATGTCTTTGGACCAACTGATGGGGACAATGTTTCATATGCTAATTGGTGTTTGTTGGTTTGTTTGCTGTTTACGGCACAACTCAGGCTCTCGAGCATACTAGGCACACTGTGTCCACTGAGCCACACTCCCAGACCTGATCCTTTCTGGAAGTTGTGATGGCTACATAGAGGCCTTACTTTTTCTCACTACTTGTAATTTTAAAAGCCTACGCAAGGAATCCAGAAAACTCTGTTGGTTTGGTAAAAGGGCTTGGGAAACCAATTCACAGAATCTATATAAAATGATGCCATGGAAATTAGTCAGAAGTCAAGTACAGGAGGATCTTGAGTAGTCATATTTCCTTCCAAGTGTGCATTGCTAATTGGCCTGATTGGCATCACTTGGAAACTTCTAATCCCAAGGGAGTCAGGTCCCCTGAAAGGCTTTCTTAAGTAAAGAGGAAATACTTAATATTTTAAAATCTAGTAGATCTATGCAGGGTGTGGAAATAGCTAACCTAATTATTGGATTAAATGAAGTATTCCATTCCCTAGTGATTCAGTACACTTGGGAGTTTCCAGCCTTTGGAAAAGGAGTAAAAACTCACTTTAAATTCAATTATTTTACCATTTCCATTCGTATCCATTGTATTCTTTAATTAAATTCCTTTTTAAAAAAGATAACACATCGATAAAATCTGGTCACTTAGGCCATTTATTCACCATATCAGGTTAGAAATAGACAGTAAATGATGGTAATATACCCCGCTGCCTGACCTTGAGTCTTGAGCATGAGCTTGCAGACCTACCTAACATGTAGAAAGGACTTCAGTTGGCTTTCTCTTAAAAGTTTTTGTTTTCTCTGAACTGTACTTGAAGCTTCCCTCTAGTGACCAATTCTTGGTGAAGGATGCGGTTTCACGTGTACAGACATGCTGGCGTAGACATCTATTTGGAGGGAGATAGTGGCTGGACAGTTCCAGGGAGAGCTGCTCTCAGCAAATGTTGCCTCTTGTGAGACTATAAATCCAATGATGAACATTGGGTCTGAGGGAACTGTTAATGAATTGTGTTAATTTTATACGTAAGAGTGTTTTTGCATTCTTGTCTGTATGGGCACCACATGTAATCCCCTGGAACTGTAATTCAGATGGTTGTGAGCTCCCATGTGGGCACTGGGAATTAAACGAGGGTTCTCTGCAAGAGCTGTGAGGAATCTTCACCACTGAGCAACCTCTCCAGCGCTCAGTAACTGACATACCACTCTTCTCAGCAAAGTTTCCGAACAAACATCAGAATGGGAGCTCTAGACAAGTGTTGATTGTTGACTGAGTCCCATTCCATAGCTCTCAGACTGTGCTAACCACCTCTAAAGAGACTTTGAGACATGGCGAAGACATAAGCTATAAGCTCCAAGAGCAGCGGTTCTCAACCTTCCTAGTGTTGAGAACCTTTACTGCAGTTCCTCATGTTGTAGTGACCCCCAGCTCAAAAAATCATTTTTGTTGCTGCCTCATAGCTGTAATTTTGCTACTACTATGAATCATAATGTAAATATCTGTGTTTTCTGATGATCTTACGCAATCCCTATGAAACAGTTGTTCAACCCCCAAAGGGGTTGCGACCCACAGGTTAAGAACCTCTGTCCTAGAGTGTTTGGGGGCAGCTGGACCCCGAAGCCTGTTGAAACTGTGGAAGCCCAAGGATCTTCACACCTACCCAGGGGCAGTGGTCAGTTCTTTTTGCAGAGGTTCCCAGGGCACATGTCAAGAAACGGTCTTGGTGATTCCTTTGCGATGACACGCTCCATTGCTGTAAGCTTCTTAGCTAACCTACTTTTCTTTATACACACACACGCTGTTAGTGCAGCCCTTTGTGTCCACACAACCTCTGTGGTATGCTCTGTATTCTTTTATAGTTTCGTATATGCACCTTCCTGCACCTATCAGTCTTGACCAATTGATGACTAATCTTTCTAGGGTACCTGTGACTGTGATAAGGAGTTCAATTTTCAAGAAAGCTCTTGGGTAAAAAGAAGGAAAAATTTAAATCTTCTTTGAAATTTTAATAGCACTGTGAAAGAAGAGCATGCTGGCATTCTTGTCCCACTTCAGCTCACAATTCTCTTTGAGTCGCCAGAACATTATGGAAGAGTAGCTCCTTCCATGTCTCTGAACTGGCCTGTGGTACTTTGACAGCTCTGCACTGTTCCTCCGTGCTGCGATGGGACTCTAGACTGGCTTATGGCACTCTGTTGGGGGCTCTAATGCACTGTGGTGCTCTCCCAGGGCTCTAGACAGTGCTATTGTGCTCTGCGGTGGCTTTGGTCAGGTCCATGGGGCTCTAGACTGGGCTGTGCTGCTAAGTGAGGCACTCACTGGGCTGTGATGGTCTGATTAAACTCTAGCCATAATCTTGTGGTGTCATAGGGCTGTGGACAGGGCAGAGAACTCCGTGTTGAAGGGGAGGGTCACATGTTTTATTATCTTTAGAAAATTTGCTGATTTGGGAAGTAGGATATTCAGGATTAGAGGGTTGAATATAGAAGACTTGGGGCTTTTTTGTTCATCATTTACTTTAATTTCATGGTTTAATATTTATCCTGCTATGTAGAGGAGAAGTATGGGGAGATTGAGAATACAGCTACAAAGTTACTTGTTTGCCATTTTTAATAAACACAAATAATTCCCCTTTTCCCTCAACTCCACATTCCTTGGCTCATTAAATCAATTTCAGGCCTCTCTCTTTTTTTTTTTTGGCAAGTTGAAGTAAAATTTCAAACTATGCATCCCCCTGAGAAATGCTTACTCAAATATTGCAGGTCAGGCCCAAATCAATTTCTGTCAAACAGCCTAACACCTCACATTATGAAATAGGAGATTGTTTATAGGAGGCTGAATCTGGACTCACCCTAAGAAAGGCTGAGTCCAGTGCCAGGCCCCATGGTCCAGCTGCATTTGTTTGTGTCCCAGCTTTGTGTTTTTCCATTCATAATGAAACTACAAGAAAGTCAAAATGTATTTCTGCCAGGGATACATGAATGGAGTTTACTCTGTAATTGTGGAATGAACATGCAGCCAGAGCAAAGCCAGGCGGGCCTCAAGGCAAAGGTGTGGGTTAACATACCCTTGGACCTAGATCTGCCCCAGAGGTTGAGACAGGAATAAATGGCCACTCTGCTTCAGACTTTCTTTCTTAGAAGCAGAAGCTATTGGAGACACACCAATGTTTCCACTGAACATCAGTTAGATAACGGGTCAGGAAATGAAGTAGAATTTGTTGTATTAACTAGGAAGCAGCAAAGGAAACCAGGCATGTATTTTATTTGTTATTATTTCCCTAATATCCTCAATTATGTGGCTTTTCCCATCAGAGGATCTGATCTGTTTGCCTGTGATGTTGGTGTCCCCATTGGTTTTAGAAGCCGGGTAACAGACCCAGGCCATCAGGAATAATGTGGTTGTTTTGTTTTGTTTTGTTTTGTTTTCTTTGTCCCCAGGCCTGTCCCAGGCTCTCTATCATCTCTGCTCCATCTTCACAACAGACAGAGGCAGCCCATGCCGGCCTCCATGCCTGGAACCCTGCCCAACCCCACCATGCCAGGATCTTCTGCCGTCTTGATGCCTGTAAGCATTTCAGGGGGGAGGGCGGGCTTGTAGTGAATTCCCACTACTTCTGAGACTCTAGAGAAGAAAGTAGGAGCTGAGATATGAGCTGCCTGGGAAGAAGGTAGCTGCCTCTGAGTGCAGAGGGCACTCTGATCTGTGGGCCAGGTTGCATAGGGCATTCATGTACCCATTCTTAGGCATTTTCCTGTCCTTTGGGGTTTGGCTATGGGGCACAGTCTGTTTTACCTGTTGGTGGCAAACGAGGCTTCCACACAAAAAGAATGGAATTTGCTCAGAAAGATATTGTTTTATAGCTATAGTCAACCCCCTGTCTGTGATTCCATTCCCACAATTCAGCCAATCATGGACTAAAAGTATTGTTTTTAAAAAATGCATATTTTCTCAACATGTACAGAACTTTTTCCTCATTATTATTCCAAAATGATGCAGTTTAACAACATTTTTAGAATTTTCCTGTTGTATTAGGTAGAATAAGATGATATAAATGGGAGGTGTATGCAGATTACAAGCAAATACTGCACCATCTTGTATGAGAGACGTAAGCAGTCACAGATTTTGGCATCAAAGCATAGACTGGTGTTCTAGTGATAATTCCAGGGGGATACCAAGGGCTGGCTGCAGTCCCAAGTCTTTATCTTGAATCATATATGTGACCGTCAAATGGACAGTGGTGGCTCTAGGCCACATAATAGCTGGTAATCTGGATTTACACACATCATGTTCTACAAATCATAGCATTTACTAGTGCTTGCTCTATGCTGATCACTCTGCAAGCACTTCATCAGCACATGAAACAGTCCCCCAAGAAGCAGTCCCCCAAGGAGGTCTATGATGGTCCCCATCTTTTGAAGGAAGGAAGTTAGGCCAGTGACTTGCTCATCTGAGAAAGCAGAGCAGACAGATTTTTGAACTCAAGATACCTGGCTCCAAAGTCTGCTCTTTCAGCTACAAAATGATGCACACGTTCTTTTTT